TGCCCTGCCTGCATTTTTACTGCTCTTTCTGCCTGGAAACTGAGAAACGTCCATGGCGTCCAAAATGTGTCCCTTTAGGTCAAAATCGGTTATAGACTGGCTAGAGAACAGCGATAGTAAATTAGAACTACTTGCAGAATTGAGTGATGATTCGTGGGGAAATTCGTCATCAGACACTGAAAACAATTTTGCGACTTTGCTCAGTGATGTGCGAACTTGGCGCTATATATTTCAAATTTCAGTGTTTTTGGTTTGATATTATTGAATTAAATTTATTATATTATTTTTTATGATTATTTATTAGATTATAATTTATGATTTCGTGTTTCAAATTTTTATCATACCCGGGATGTTTACTAGACTCTTGTTCGGACAGATTTCAGTGACTTATTCCTAAAAATTACAGGCCTACAATAAAAAAATACATATTTCCATGCAAAAAAATGTACCGCTTTGAGTACAGAAATATGGACATAATCAGACTGCTAGGGAGGTTAATGGCCAGGCTTCTTTTTGCTACTCGGTGTTGCACTAATTATGAACTGATAATTGCGCGGTCAAGCAATGCTGTACCAAACAAAATTTACGTCCTTTGTTCCTGTCAGGCTCCGCCCAACGGGATCTCTAGTGGTCCACGGCACGGGATTTCCCAGGACGCGGAGTCTAAGTCCCAGTGTGCCTTTTCACCAGGGCCCCTGATGGTGGGGATGGACTTGGTGCAAGACTGAAACCAGGTCGCGTCCCTGGGCACCCCCGTCGGTGGCAGAGGGGTCCCGCTGAGGGTATCTGCCCGGGTTGAGCCTGCTGTGAAGGGGACGACAGATCCCGATCCGAGCTGGATGGATGGGATGACAGATCCCGATCCGAGCGGGATGGATGGGCAACTATCAGGAGTAGGCGAGGTCAGACTAGCCGGGTCGGTATTGTGCGGGCAGCGTGGTACAGGGGGAGTAAGCGGAGAATGGTCGGGGTCACAAGCCATGTTCAGCAGGTAGCGGGCAACGCGGTACAGAGGGTCAGGCAGAAGGATGGTCAGGGACGAGCCGGGGTCAGAGCAGGAGAGGGTCAGCATAAACAGAACAGGCAGAGTTTGGCAACAAGGAAGCGTACTTACAGGACAGGAACAGGACCTTGCGGCAACCTGGAGATGCACGGGGCAGCTTTAAATAGAGCGCCCTGTTCTCCCATTGGTGCGGCCGCGATCGCTACTGCGCATGCGCGGCCGCCGCCGCGATCGCCGGCTGGGTCGGATCGGCCGTCTGCGCATGCGCGCACCGCCGAGGACCAGGGATCCCTGACAGTTCCACACAAATAGAGCTTTCTTTCGGTGGTATTTGATCACCTGTGCGCCTTTTATTTTTTGCGCTATAAACAAAAAAAGACCGAACATTTTGAAGAAAAAATATTTTTTACTTTCGGCTATAAAAAATATATAGTAAACTCAAAGTTAGTTATAAATTTAGGCCAAAATGTATTTTGCTACATGTTTTTGGTAAAAAAAAATCCAAATAAGTGTAGAAGCTATAACTTTCACACAAAGCAATCAATATACAAACTATGGTATAGATACTGCAATTTACGCCATTTTTTTGCTATACAGCACTGCACTAGTTTGTGCAGCCGTGCAATATGATACATAAATAAAATGTATGTCCTTTTTTTCACATAAATAGAATTTTCTTTTGGTGGTATTTGATCACCTGTGCACTTCTTATTTTTGGCGCTATAAACAAAAAAAGACCAAACATTTTGAAGAAAAACAATATTTTTTACTTTTGGCTATAAAAGATATATAGTTAAACTCAAAGTTAGTTATAAAATTTAGGCCAAAATGTATTTTGCAACATGTTTTTGGTAAAAAAAAAATCCAAATAAGTGTATATTGATTGCTTTGTGTGAAAGTTATAGCGTGATCACCTGTGCACTTCTTATTTTTGGTGCTATAAACAAACATTTTTAAAAAAAGAATGATAGTTTCTCATTTCTCTCAAAAAATATCCAAAAAAACTAAAATTTCATCATAAATTTAGGCCACAATGTATTCTGCTACACGTTTTTGGTTACAAAAATTCTCAATAAGTGTATATTGATTGCTTTGTGTGAAAGTTATAGCATCTACAAACTATGGTATGGATAATGGAATTTACACAGCTTTAACTTTCTGATTGCCCATCACATTTCTTGAGGTGCTAAAATACCAGGATAGTACAAACACCCCAAAATGACCCCTTTTTGGAAAGTAGACACCCTAAGCTATCTGCTGAGAGGCATACTGAGTCCATGAAATATTTTTTTCCCACAAGTTTCTGGAAAATGACAAACATTTTTCTTTTTTTACACAAAAGCTGTCATTTAAATATTTCTCACACAAGCCATGGGTATATAGGTGGAATCACACCCCAAAATACATTCTGCTACTTCTACCGAGTATATGGATACCACATGTGAGACTTTTTGGAAGCCTGAAATCCAATGACCACTGCGAAAGCCTGAAGGTGAGTAACTTCCTCATTTCACTTCCTCACTACCTATCCCAGTTTCGGAGGCCCCGAAATGCCAGGATAGCACCATCCCCCCCCAAATGAGCCCTTTTTGGAAAGTAAACACCCCAAGGAATTTAAAAAGAGGCATGATGAGTATTTTGCAGATCTAATTTTTTCTCACAAGGTTTTGAAATATAAAAAAAAGAAAAGCAAAAATGTTTTTGTTTTCTTTCATTTGCAAAAACTTTTGGCAACAAACCAGATCTGCAAAATACCATGGTTCTTATCAAATTTCCCAAGGGTGTCTACTTTCCAAAAATAGGTCGTTTTGGGGGGTGGGGGCATTTTATGTACAGCATTAGAAGTTTATGCCACATACTCACTTTTCAAACCACATGAAGATCAAGCCTTTCCTGACACTTTTTATTCACATGAAAAAAATCTGTATTTTTTGCTAGGAAATGAATTTAAACCCCCCAACGTTATATTTCTTTTAAAGCAAACACCCTACTGAATAAAATGGTGGGTGTTGCAATTTTATATGTCACATAGTATTCGCGCAGCGATTTTTAAAACGCAAATTCAAAAAAAACAAAACTTTTAATGCACAAAAACACAATATATTGGCCAACTATTTGGTAAAAAATAAAAGATGATGGTATGCCGAGTACATAGATACCAAACATGACATGCTTTGAAACTGTGCAGGCCCCGTGCAATGGCGACAAACTGCATACGTTGTTAAAATCCATAGGCAACACTTTAAAAGCCTTTAGAAGCTACCATTTTAGATTTACAGAGGAGGTCTAGTGCTAGAATTACTGCCCTTGATTTGACGTTCAGGGCGATACCTCACATGCATGGTGCAACCGCTGTTTACATACCAACACAGGGGAAGGGGGGGGGCGCTTTTTTTGCTTTTGTTTTTTAAGATTATTTGATTTTTTTAATTATTTTTATACTGTCCCTTTAATTTTTTTTATATCACTTTTAATGCAATCACAGGGAATGCAAAGATCCCCTATAACTTTAATGGGCATGGTCATATATTCTTTTTTGAGAAATCTGGGGTCTATCAGACTCTAGAGATCTCCTCTGCCCTTACATTATCTAATCTCATCAAGATCGTTGTGATGAGATGCTTTCACAGTTTACAAATGGCACTGTTTATATCCTGCGAAACTGAAGTCATGAAATGCTCATAGCTTCCGATTTCTTAGACTATAGAGATTATTGGCACCATTCTGGTCTCCAATCAGCTCTATGGTCAGCTGGCAGGAACACCGGCTGCATTCTCAGCTTCCCCCCGATGGACTGCCCGAGAAAGCAGTGGAAGGCAGCGGGGGGGGGGCATCATCTCCTGCGGCTTGAAAAAGCAATCCTGCAGCTAATTAGCCACTAGGATTGCTTTTACATGAAAGCCAATCGCCGGTTGAAAAAAAACAATATCAGGATGATGCCTGCAGCTGTAGGCATCATTCTGGTATAACCATTCAAAGTCCAGTGATGTACCAGTAGGTCGCTGGTCCTTGCTGGGTATATATGCTACGTTTTTTTTTTTTTTTGTTTTGTATGCAGCTTGTGGGCTGAATGAAAAAAAGAGAAGAAATCTCTGCCAGAAAAAGTGTGTGGTATGCCCACCATGAGAATATACTGCCCTGCAACCACCCACTTCTAATGGTGGGCAGACATTAGGTTGCACGGTGCCACATGCGCCAATTCCAAGATTGTACAAAGGTCTAAATAGTGGCACGCTTGAATATAAATTGTCCACGTATAAGTGCTGCCCCATATGGAAAAAGGATGACACCAAGATCCAAACTATCTTGCCACTACTCCCCATGTAGTCTGGGAATCCGGGGGGCTCCACATAACTATCTTTTCACTCATAAATCCGAAAATTATATGTATAGCCTGTTGCCCTCTCACAGGTCTTGTACATCTTGACCCCATATCTGGCATGCTTGCTGGGGAGAAATTGTATGAATGCAAGGCGGCCATAAAAATTAATCAGGGACTCATCAACGCAGATGTTTTGATGGGGAGTATAGACACCCGTAAATATTTGGTTAAGGTGATTTACAAGGGGCCGAATTTTGTGGAACCGGTCAAATTCAGGGTCACCCCAAGGACGACAGAGTGTGTTGTCGTTAAAATACATAAAACACATTATACTCTCATATCTATGCTTGGCCATGGCAGCAGAGAACACGGACATATGATGAATCGGGTCTGTGGACCAATACAACTGCAATTAATTTTATTTAGTAATGCCCATGTTGAGGGTTAGGCCCAAAAAAAAAAGTAAATTTGTAAACCGTATTGGGTTTCCATGCGAATGATCTGGCAAGGTTTGAATTTGGGTTGGCGGCGATAAATTCTGCATATATCGTATTTTTCGCTCCATAAGACGCACCTAGGTTTTAGAGGAGAAAAACAAGAAAGAAAATATTCTGAACCAATGGACTGCAGACACAGTACAGGGGATGACCAGAGACTGCGGACACAGTACAGGGGATGACCAGAGACTGCGGACACAGTACAGGGGATGACCAGAGACTGCGGACACTGTACAGGGGATGACCAGAGACTGCGGACACTGTACAGGGGATGACCAGACTGCGACTGCGGACACTGTACAGGGGATGACCAGAGACTGCGGACACTGTACAGGGGATGACCAGAGACTGCGGACACTGTACAGGGGATGACCAGAGACTGCGGACACTGTACAGGGGATGACCAGAGACTGCGGACACAGTACAGGAGATGACCAGAGACTGCGGACACAGTACAGGGGATGACCAGAGACTGCGGACACAGTACAGGGGATGACCAGAGACTGCGGACACAGTACAGGGGATGACCAGAGACTGCGGACACAGTACAGGAGATGGCCAGAGACTGCGGACACAGTACAGGAGATGGCCAGAGACTGCGGACACAGTACAGGAGATGGCCAGAGACTGCGGACACAGTACAGGAGATGGCCAGAGACTGCGGACACAGTACAGGAGATGGCCAGAGACTGCGGACACAGTACAGGAGATGGCCAGAGACTGCGGACACAGTACAGGAGATAGCCAGAGACTGGGGACACAGGACAGGGAATGACCAGAGACTGTGGACATAGTACAGAAGACCAGAGACTGCAGACAGTGCAGGGGATAACCAAAGACTGCAGACAGTGCAGGGGATAACCAGACTTCAGACAGTAAAGGAAATTACCAAAGACTGCGTACCTTTGGGGAGGGAGGGGGAGTGGGTACCTGAATTTGACAGGTATCCGCTCCCACTTCCGCAAAGTTGTCCTTCTTCCCGCGGCGGCTTCTGTGACAGCCGGGTGCCCACTGCGCATGCGCGAGAAGCGCTGCGCTTTGTGAATGGCCCGAAGCCTTCTGGGACCTGTCATGTGTCCCAGAAGACACCGGACCATTCACAAAGCGCGGCGCTTCTCACGCATGCGTAGTGGGCACCCAGCTGTCACAGAAGCCGCCGCGGGAAGACTGCAGCGCTGGAGCGAGGAACTGGTAAGGTCCTGCAGGAGAGAAGAGCTAAGCGGCCGGCCCGATATTCTGACATAGTGGCGGCAGAAATACCGGACCAGCTGCTTTACATTCGCTCCATAAGACGCACTGACATTTTCCCCCCTTTTTTTGGGGGAAAAAAGTGCATCTTATGGAGCGAAAAATACGGTAAATTGCTTTGACCCACAATCAATCCATACAGATCTTCTGTGAAAAACGGCTCCAAAAAAAAATCAAGGGTTAAATTTGTGGTTTCCACCTGAATTCCGGGTTGGGCAGTGCATGGGGGAAGTACGGGTGCTGCAGAATTTGTGGGCTGCCAATCGGGATTTGCAAGCACATCCGGAAGGATACTAGGGGCTCTACGGGCCACAAATTCTTGGTGGTTGCGGGGCACGGGGTACGCACCTGCTTGTACTACACTTATGGGACACGCCACGTCACCAAGTGATACTGCAGTGCTGGTATGTGAAAGACCAGGATCTACTAGGCCGCTGGTGCATGCCAGTTCACCAAAAAGTAGCGTGACACTAGTACTGGCACTCTGCTGCATATGAGAGTCATCAAAATTTACCAGCAAATGCTAACAGAGATTAGGCCTGATTATGCCAACACTGCAGTTTTGTGTGCAATGTATCAAGTGACAGTGACCTACTGACACTGCACTTGCTGGAGGAGAGGGGGGGGGGGTTAGCCTAGGGGCTAAACGCAGGCGCTGGCAGGTGGCGTGGCTGATCACGCTAACGCTGCGCTTTTGGGGATACTGTACTGATGTGAACGCTGGTATAGTGCTGATCTGATCAAAGATTTTGATCCGTTCAGACATTATACTAACACAATAGAAGTTGTGGTCCTGGCAATCAAGGAGTTAAATATGATTACTGGTGTACTGATGGACAATCTGACGCTATCTGGGAGTGGCATGAAAACCACGGTAGTGTGAATCAAGTATATATACGTGATTTTGTGCTCCGTGCCGCCCTCTACAAGTATTTCTGCTATAGGGCGGTCAGGAAGCAGTTACAGAAGCGGTTTGCGTTACGGCGCTGCATTATTTAACTGACAATTGCGCGGTTATGCAACTCTGCATCCAAATGAAATTTACGTTCTTTTGTTCCCACAAATTGAGCTTCATTTGGTGGTAATTGATCGCCTGTGCAGTTTTTATTAAAAAAATGTAAAAATCAAAATTTGGTCATATATTTAGGCCAAAATGTATTCTGTGACGTCTTTGCTAAAAAAAAAAATCCAAATACATGTAAATTAATTGGTTTACGTGAAAGTGTTAGCGTTTACAAATGGCAGTATAGATACCAATCAATCAGCAGATTCAGGCCAGTGATGTTCGGCCTGGATCTGCTGATTGATCCCTGCCCTATCACAGGTCTTCCTGTACCTGTGTTTACATTTACACAGGTACAGGAAATTATGCAACCTTCTCTCCCTGGGCACATTCCGCTCCAGAGAGCGAAGAAATCTATGTGAGTAAAAGCAATACACTTTCACAGTAAAAGCAAAGCTCGGTCACATTTAACCCCGATTGTCCCCCAGTTAACCCCATCACTGCCCTTACACCAGTGTCATTAGTACAGTGTACAGATTTTTTTTTTTTACTGATTAGTGTCACCGGCGACTTCAGGTAGCATTAACATCAGTTAGCATCCCTCCCAGAAAGCATCAGATTTCCCCGCCACTACATCAGTCATCACATTTAACCCCTTGATTGCCAGAAATATGCTCACATACACAATAAACCTCCTTTGCTAAGATTGTGTCTGAATGGATCAATATCTTTGATCAGATCTATACCGCCGTTCACAAAAGTAAAGTGTCCCCAAAACCGCAGCGTTAGCAGGATCAGCCACGCCACCTGCCAGCACCTGAGTTTAGCCTCTAAGCTTAACCCCATCTCCCCCCCCCCTTCTCTCTCAGCAAGTGCACTGTCAGTAGATCACTGTCACTTGAAACACTGCACACAAAACCGCAGTGTTTAGCAGAATCAGGCCTGATCTTTGCTAGCACTTACAGGTACATTTTTTTTTGTAGCAGTTCAAGCAGTCCCTGACAGCCAGGTGCTCTTTTTCCCTGTGAGTCGCACCAGGTACCTATAAATTTAGTGTCCAAAATGTCCAACGAAAAGTACTTTAGTGTAGAGGCCAACAGGATTCTGACCATGTCAGATGAGAGAGAAGGGGAAGCCTCACTGACAGAATCTGCCACAGAATACGAACCTGTAGACAGCAGCGGCACCCTGACAGATAGCTCAGATGATGGAGTAGAGGTCCTTGCTAAGGTCAGGCATACCTGACCCAGTTTCCCAGATTGCTGAGGTGGTACAATTGCATGATTCTCCTCATATGCAGCAGAGTGCCACTACGAATGCCTCTCAACATTCTGTTGAACTAGCAAACACCAGCGGCCTAGTACATCCTGGTCTTGTACATACCAGCACTGCAGTATCACTTGGTGACATGGTGAGACCCATAAGCTGGTGCAGTGGCTAGCACAAGTAGTGTCCTGCAGCCACCAAGAATTCGAACACAGGCCCGTAGAGCCCATAGTGTCCTTCTGGATGTGCTTGCAAATCCTGATTGGCAGCCGACAAATTCTGCAGTACCCGTACTTCCCCATTTACTGCCCAACCCAGAATTCAGGTTGAAACAGCAAATTTAACTAGAAAAGGTACAATTTCTTGGGAAATTGTGTGAAGTGTTCTTGCATCCAACCCTAACCAAGTGATTGATCAAATGTAAAAAGTGCACATGGTAAGCTTGATAGAGTGGGAAATGCATTTGAACTTTTATTTTGCAGCTAACAGTCTAGCTTTGGTCACTCTGCTGCCTGCTGACTCACCTTCGGTTGCTATGGCAACTCACTCCACAGCAAGCTGAGAGGAGCTTTTATAAACACACTGCTCCAACTTGATCATTTTACTGGCGGTTGCCATCTTCAAACGGTTGTAGTTTTAAAAATATAAATCCTACAGCAAAGAGCTTTATATTGTGCGAATCACAAGACCCAGACCTACATTTTGGTGCATAGGTCTCTGAAATACTACAAATGAAGGCACAATCGCAGTTTAGAAATATCCCTTCAAATTTCAGGTATCTAGAGTGGAGATTCAATGAATGTCAATGGGCGGCGTGAGTTGCAAACAAATGGTCATACTGTGAAAACTATCAGGACTATGGCTTAGCCGTGAACATTTTTAGTGGCAGCAGGGACAGCTGAACGTTTTGATATAAGATATGTGTAGGTGGGCTTGAAAATGACAGAGAGATGGCAGTTTAGAAATCATGTCCTGATTTTTCCTTCCACACTCTGCTCCAACTTGCTAACTTCACTGGCGGTTGCCATCTTCAAACGCTTGTAGTTTTCAAAGTATAAATGCTACAGCAAATATTGTGAGAATTACATTGTGAGAATCACAAGACCCAGACCTACATTTTGATGTATAGTATGTCTGTGAAATATTAAAAATGAAGGCACAGTCGTAGTTTAGAAATGACCCTTGAAATTTCAGGTGTCTAGAGTGAAGATTCAATGAATGTTAATGGGCGGCGTGAGTTGCAAACAAATGGTCATATTGTGAAAACTATCAGGACTATGGCTTAGCCGTGAACATTTTTAGTGGCAGCAGGGTTAGCTGAACGTTTTTATATAAGATATGTGTAGGTGGGCTTGAAAATGAGGGAGTGATGGCAGTTTAGAAATCATGTCCTGATTTTTCCTTCAACACTGTAGCTTTGTCAGCTCCCACTCTAGTTGCTCCATTCATTCCTATGGGAAAATTTCACCACAAAAACTGATATTTTGTGAACCATTTGGTGAAACGTTCCACAAAGTAATAGCAATCCGATTGGGAACAATCCACACGTTTTGATATATTACTTGTCTTTGTAGTGTAAAAACTGTGGGAGCAGTTAGCGTGGAAAATTTGGCTATAATATTAAGAACTAGAAAATCTACAATTTCTGGGGAAATTGTGTAAAGTGTTCTTGCAAGTAACCCTTACCAAATGATTCATGAAATGTAAGCAGTGCACATTGCAAGCCTGACAGAGGGAGAAATGCATTTCAGCTTGTATTTTGCATCTCACAGTCAAGCCTGTGTGACTCATTTGACTCTTGAGTGACCTTTGGTAGCTATAGCAACTCACTCAGTCAGGCATGTGAGAAGCTCTGTTCTAAACACACTGCTCAAACTTGCCAACTTCACTGGCGATTGCCAACTTCAAACGCTTGAGTATAAATGCTACCGTGAAAAGGTTTATATTGTGACAATCACAAGAAACAAACCTAAATTTTGATATATAGTATGTCTCTGCAATATTAAAAATGAAGGCACAGTCGCAGTTTAAAAACGTCCCTTAAAATTTCAGGTGGCTGTGAGTGAAGTTTCAATGAAAGTCAATGGGAGGGGTGAGTTTCAAACAAATGGTCATATTGTGAAAACTATCAGGACTATGTGCTAGCCGTGAACATTTTTAGTGACAGCAGGGTTAGCTGAACGTTTTGATATAAGATATGTGTAGGTGGGCTTGAAAATGAAAGAGTGATGGCAGTTTACAAATCATGTTCTGATTTTTCCTTCTACACTCTAGATTTGTCACTTCTCACTCTAATTGCTCCATTCATTCCTATGGGAAAATTTTGCCACAAAAACCGCGATATTTCGTGAACGATTCGGCGAAACGTTCCACAAAGTAATAGCAA